CTGTAAGTCCGATTGCTTTGATATTACATATATAGGTACTACATGTGGACCTCTCTCAGATTTGTTCATTTTGTGATGATATCTTCAATTCTCTAATTAATTTATTTTGGTGAATATTTTTGTTATTTTTGGTAAAAAGTGATATTTTCGACTTCTTGTTAAAAACTGTAAGTACGATTGCTTTGACACAATTCATATTGTTCATTTTCTAATGATGTCTTCAGTTCTTTAATTGAAATGTGCATTGCTAACAGCGAAGCTATCTCAGCCGATAGGCTGCTTGTTTTTGTAATTTTGATAATTTGAGGGAGTTTGTGAAGACTGGATATCAATTATGAAATTCATGTTTATATAGGATATCATAGTTGATTGTTTTACAGTTGCGATGGTGTCAGACTTTGTTCCAACATCTTCAATATTGATTGCTATCTGCTGGCTTTACTGTACTACAGATCAGACAATGATGTTCATTGTATTCACAGTGTTTATTACAAGAATCTGTACACATATATAATTGTTACATCAAATTGAAAACTTGAAAACAGGGGGAACTTATAATTTCATTTTTGTACATCTGTATGTGTGTCTGCACCACTATCTCGGACATGTCTAGACCAATCACGTTCAACTTCGCATCATGCATCTTGGGATGTATATGCATTTTTTCATGTTCCGTTTCAAGTTATCAGAATCTTGGACTTTGGTAACAATAAAATCAACATTTCTGTTGTTGGAAGCATTTCTTGGTGGGGTTAAACCTATTTATGGGACCAGTGGCTATTTGTTTTAATGAGTTTATTTCTGGGGCCTTGTCTCAGTCGTGTCTTGCCCAATAAATAAACTTGAACATACATCATATTTCCTGGAATACATACATGCATTTGTTTCATGATGTAATTAAAGATGGCCGAATAGCAGCCATTTTAAGGCTAAAAAGTCCTCAAACTCATGCATTTTCTTCATTCAAGAACTGGACCTCAGTTGTGCATGAACAAATTTTGTTCAAAACTTAGTACATGAATTGGATGCATGTCATCTTGTTAGTCCCCGTTCAGGCGAAGCACGAGTAGATGTGCTTTTGGCAATAATGACCACACCCTCCTAAAAATATGCAAATTAAAACAATGCAGTTATTTGAACTTTGATTTGACCCAGGTCTTGGTAATATACTAAGACCTGAATTAACAAAGAAGTCATGTACATCAAGGTTCACTCAGATTTATGAATGCAATTTCTTTAGCAAGTATACATGTGTGTATAGTTTTGTTGTTTGCAGATGTTCCTTGTACTACTTTGAAATCAAATAACGGGGACTGTGACATTCATGTCTTGTTATCTTTCAAATTAATTTCAAAATGGCTGCCTGGTGGCCGTTTGATTTTAACAACAGCTGTACCAGAGATATACTGCTATTATGCCTTGACCATTCATATTAAAAACTTGACAAATACGTCATATATGTCACACATATGCAAATGCATATGTTTTGTGATGGCCAAGTGGAATGTCAGTAATTTTAAATCAAAATCAATTTTCACTATTTCTTTTTTTTCAAGATTATGGCCTATTGTTTTAAAATGAACAAAGGAATGAGAAAAAATGCAAAAACAAGTTAAAAAATGTTGCACCAAATTGTTAAAGAGAAAAAAAATATGCTGGGTTAAAAGTTCAATCACCATTGTCTGTGGTGTTTTCACTTTGTCTTTTGTTTACCTTTAAAATCGACATCATAAACATGCAATTTTTGTCTTTTTTTTTTAAGGTGGCTGATTGGACAGTTGGAATATGACTCTCTCGGGGATTGGTGGGCTGCAACGGATACTAGGCACTGTCTGGTTCATGCATATGACGTTGGCGTTATTGTCGTCAGATGAATGTCCTAATCTTTGCACCTGTTGGGGTCGAACTGTAAGCTGTGATAGCGGCTTGAACTACCTACCCAAATCGATCTCATCAACGACTGACATGATGTTTGTCCGAAATAATGATATTCCAGACATTTTTAAAGGTGTGTTTAGCGGACACGGATACAGCACTTTGCAGCGGTTGTATCTTAACCACAACGGCATCCGAAATATCCTGGCTGAATCATTTGTAGGTCTGACTGAGCTGAAATACCTGTACGTGGTGAACAATAAACTGGGTAAGTTATTTGCCAACAGTTTTCAGGGACTGGAACAAGTACTTACCTTGGAGTTGCAACATAGCCAAATTGCGGAAATCGAGCCCAATGCCTTCAAAGGTATGCAAGCCCTAGACACATTGGATCTGAATAATAACAATATCGTCGAGCTCACAAATGGAATATTCACAGATACCATTTTACTGCAGGTTATCAATCTAGATAGTAATAAACTCAAGAAGATTAGTCCCGGCGTTTTTAGCGACGTCGCCAATGTCAAGAACCTGATGTTACAAAATAACCAACTAGAGGTTCTGCCTTGGAATACGTTTAGTGGCCTGATGAAATTGGAAGAGTTGGACTTGAGTAATAACCAGCTGACAAGCCTGGATCATTCCTTGTTCAGAGACCTTTTGAGCCTGAACCGACTAGATTTATGTTGCAACCGGATTGAATATCTGGAGCTGGATATGTTCGTTAGTCTTGCTAATCTTCGTTTGCTTTCCCTTCATGACAATGAGCTGAAGATTCTTCAGCCTACTATTTTTGAGAATTCGCCAAATTTACGAAAGTTGACTTTCCATGACAACAATCTGCAGACCCTCCATCCTATGGTGTTCCACGAAGTTGGTGTGCTGGAAGAGTTGGATTTCCACGGTAATCCATGGCGATGCGACTGCACAATGCTGCCGTTGAAAGTCTGGTTCCAAAAAGCTGGAAAGTCGGTCCACATTGAGCAGCACAACATGGTCTACTGTCGTGACACTCCATCCCACAGGCTCAAAAACATCACTAAACTTGAGGACATTGCAAATACGTGGCTCTGCCAGGACCCAGCTGAAATCCACGTAGAGGGTGATGGAACAGTCATTTTAGTAAAATCATGCCTATTCTGCGACATCTCTATTCATTATATCTTGGTTGTACTTGTTTTACTCGTATTGGTCGTCATTGGGCTACGTATGAAAAAATGTCGGCGGAAGAACAAAAAAAAGAAATCCCAAATCCCATTTTCCCTTCGTGAGGTCAAAGGTCATCAAGTCATTCATAGTCGTGTTACATGTACAGAGAAGAACGTAAAAAACCTTTTATTATGATGTATATCAGTTTGAAAAATATTTATCACATAAAAAAAAGAAAATAGAATTGTGTATTTGGGAAAAAAATTGTGAAATTTATTTTAAAAGTATTTTAAAAATGACTGTATAAGGAATAATGTTATTAAACATGGTGTACAATGTAAGTTAAAAAATGTGTCACTCCATCAATTTGGAGAAAATAAATAAAACAGAAACTTTTTTTCTAGGGCTGGATTATAATTCATGTGGTCAAAATACAATAGAGAATATTTTGTTTACAAAAGTTGCATTGTTCTTAAAGAATAATTTTTTTGACTTCTTTATTATATTAATAAATGTTATTGACTTAGTACTACTAAGTATTTATACTTGCAGTATAAATGTTTCTGAACTCTGAGTACTTGTAAATTATTATTGTAAATCTACGTAATCACAAAATCTTTTAGTGCTAGGGAGACCTTTTCAGGGTTCAGAGGTTTGCTATTTACATGTTGATTGACTTTGATTTTGCAACTGTAAACTATTCACTGAGAATCAAAATAACTTTTGCAAATCTTAAATAATAAAATGGTCGCCGTTATATCATTGGGAGAGAAAGAATCACAAGACATGTCTGAGAAAAACATTTTTTTCTGTCATGATGTTCATTGTTTTGTTTCAAATACCATGGTTAAGTAGATCAGGGAGGGGATAAGTGGGTATGATTGAGTGAAATTGAAACACCAGTAGACAGACAAAAACAAGTAGTACGGCTCTCCCACTCTCAACGAGATCTCTGTCGCCATTTGTGCATTTTTAAGTGTATAAGATGAAGAAAACTTACTATTATAATAAACCTACGACCAAAGCCACTACAAAATAATGTATTCAATTTTCAAAAACTATTATGATATGATTGACACACTGTTCAACAAAATTTACATTTAAGTAGTACATTTACCGTCTTATTGATTATCCCAGTCTATCATAATATAGCGCATGTACTTTTATGATTTAGTGATGCTATTGTAGACATCAATGATTTTATTTGATTCAAACTAACTGCCATTATCAACTTTTGTCATTTCATT